CGCAAGGAAAGATTGGAAAATGTTTTTGGTATGGGCATTCACTTGGTGTTCAATACGACACGCCTTTAAAAGCTATCATTATGTATGACTTATTTGTTAATCAAGTAACCAAATGTGATGTAAATTTATGTGTAACAATCATTCCTTGTGGCTTCAATAAATAATCAGAGTGCAGGAGCTTTTAAAATAAATAAAAATCCAGTCTCTATTTTCATCCATTCAGGTCAAAAAATCTCCGAGTAACGGTAAAATAGCAGTGTGGCAGCCTAATAATAATAATCTCTACATTCAAGGAGACACCATGTGAAAAATTCAGTCTGGTAGGGGTGGCCGCCCGGCGTATCTGTTTTTCGCGCCAGCGACACGTGCGAGCATCTTCAGTGTGATTGTAAAGAGTGGAAAATAGTCAAGTGAAGTATTAATTACACTCTCAAGATCTTTTAGGGCCTGTTTACATTGAGTGGGGGACCCCGGTCTAGTTCACGCTCTGGGGGACACAAAACAAAAGAAACCTACCCCACTAGACCGGGGTCCCCCACTCCATGTAAACAGGGTCTTAGATATGCAGCACCTGAGTGAATTCTGAGTGCCCAGGTGAATGTGTTATGAGATTTGTTAGAATTATCCACAGATAAAACCAAGGTGTCAGTTCTTAGAAATAAATAATAAGGATTACGTATTCTAGCAACACTAGGCACTATTAAAACTCATTCACTGCCTTGAGTGCAAAAAGCTTTTGTTACAAACATATACCTCCATGACTTTCCCATAAGCAAAGTTTCTTTTTCCAATGGAAGGTACCCGCTTGTAAGCTCTCCTCCTAGTTTCGCTTTTGCAGTTGTATTCGCACAGCAGTAATGTTAAAATGGCCAGGCAAAGTAAGATTCTCTGTAGCTTGAACATAGTTTACTTCCTCTACAGGCCTCTGTTGGATCAAATAGCTATGGATTGAAACAACCCCAAAGTAGGTGATTTTTATGTGTCTATGGCCTACATTTATACCAATCATCATACACTGCTTAAACAGGCGAACGATGAGTTTATTTAAGGTGACAATGATGTGAATTGTCACTTCTTAATCAAGGATTTTTTTTAAATATAATGCTGTCAAAAGTTAAAAAGAACTTCACATGAAGGAGCTCCGACTTTTCCAAATTTTTCTGGCGCAACTTTTCCTTTGAAAAAGTCTTAAACAAGTGCCAAACATTTATGTTTAAGCAAGGACGATCATAGAAATTTTATAAACTTACTTTTTTTAGAGGAAATGGATATATCCCCAAAATTTAAAACGTACAATTATAAGTATTACATTGGGTGATATCGGCAACAATCATTAGCACTCTTTTCTAATCGAAATAGTTCTAATACACAGAATGCTAGGGAAATATATTAATCTTAAAGCTACTGTGTTAAAAGCTTGAGTTAATTTGGTAAAATTATTATAACAAAACCCACATACGTTGTGTATATTATTTATAGCGAAAGGAGACATTTTACATCCTTTTTTAAAAGGATAATTAGTGACTTATCTGACATATTACCAGACTTTAATTGCTGCTGTACATTAACTAATTTAGGCATGCTTATAGGGCATATTATCGCTTTAATTAAAGGCCGTGAAATGATTACTGTTTAATAACACAGAAAAATATGAAAATGTTCGGTGAAGGAAGTTTTAATTACCAGGAATGATCAAAATAACTGAACATAAGGTTCTATTTTTGTCCCCGTATGTCAGTCGTGGATTTCCCACACCTTGATTTCCTGATTCCAGGTATCTCATTTCTGATTCTTTGTCGGTGGAACTTGGATTCCGGATTGCAACTATTAGTGGGATTCAGGATTCCTTGAGCTGTATTCCGGAATTGAAAGCCCAGGATTCCAGAATCCATAAGCAAAAATTGCCCTAAATCCGGAATGCGAATTCACGAACATGGGGCAATTTCTTTTACAGCTGAAATGTCAACTTTTACCAGTCTCACCAGACGTGTGGGGATTTTACCGTGCCTTTCTATTTTGACTTCTTCTATTTTTTTTTCTTTTCCATCAAGACAAATGCGAACTAATTCGAAAGGGAAGAAGCCTCACCCATCGAAACATCTTGGAAGCCTCTATTTATTTCTAGAGTGAAGGAGTATTACCGCCTTACCTTGAATTGTCGAGACCTTTATCTAGAAACTCGCTAGCCATTCAATTTGATGATGGCACAAAATAAAAATTTGGACAAGAACGCATTCAATTCATGAGTTTGGTATTTACTTTTAGTATTTGCTACATTCATAAGCGCGACGCTTTCTTAGTTGTTTGCTTCGTCTTTCATTTATGACTAACTATTTGAGAATACAACATGGCTTAGTAGGGATGTACAGCCCTAAGAAATACTGATATGGGGCGAGCATCGCTTTGCCTGGAGAGCTAGACCGCCATGTATTAGTCCAACGGCCTCCTTACAGAACTCTTTTTAGAGTAAGATACACACAGTGAATATTATCTCGAGAATGCAAACTGCCACAGAAGTTCGAAGAATCCTCGTCTCTCTCAGCTAATATTATCATCTAATCAATCTTATCTTACAGTATGCTGTAAAATTCATCCGCTTCTTAATAAATGCATTGTTTGTTGTTGTTGTTATAAGAACGTTAGAAAATCAAAAAATAGATTTCGTTAATTCTCCGAACTGTGATCTTAACCTTGATGATCACCTTTGGGAAGGTATAGCTAGTTTCATGATGTTGTGGCTACGGTACCCCAGCTGGAAATATAATAAGTAAAAATAAATGTGTCCACAGAAAGAGCAAAGTACAAAATGTTATTTGTAACGTAAAAATTCTAAACAACGTTTCAAGCATTTCCTTTCCTTTTTTCACATACTCATGATACTACTGATGCGAGGTCATGTTATATGGAACAATGCACACTTTTTAGCCGAGGTGACAGTTATCTTTATATTCCTAGTTTCGGTTCTCTTTATTATTGGTTCTTTATTGTTTTTCCTTTTTTATTGTTTTTTGTTTTCTTCATCTTTTTTTCGCTAAGTTTTCAGTGTTCTGTGTTCTACATTTTGCTGTGTTTTCTTTTCTCTTTTCTGTTTTGCTGTTTTATTTTTGTTGTGTGTTTTCCCTTTTCTTTCTCAGTTTTTCTGTTTGCTTTCGTTTTTAATTATTTAGTGTAATTTTCTGTTTTCTGATTAATGCTTTGCATAATTGATCCTGTTTTTCTTTTATCACGACCTTGCTTTCCGGCCTACTTCAAATCCTACTAGGTTTTTCTTTACAATTTGATATTACGCGAAGTGGTATATTAAAAAAAACATTATTTTGGCCTTAAAGAGTTAAAATTTACTGAAAAAATCACTTGCATGTAAAATGCAAAAACAGATGTCAAAATCGGTATTTTTCCTATCCCCATCGCATACTGGTCACGATTCGGGATTTTCAAGCAAAATCGGGAGAATCCCGACGAGATTGGAATGGCTGGACGATCTGAAATTAGCTTTGAATGTTGTCACTGCTTTTGCTCAATATATCTTTCACAGTTTTGTCCACCCGTTTCTTCAAAGTTCACCAACTAAATTCTCGAAAAGCAGACCGGCAGAGGTAGTTTAAAGAAAGTGGAAGCTTTATAAGGGAACGTAAGCGACTGACTTTCTATTTAAAGTAGAATTGAACATAATTTTAACTCGTGTTTTTATTTGTGCTAATTTTTTTTTTAATCGGAAAGCAGCTTATTATCAATCAGTTTTATGAAGGAAACAAGCACTAACTATGTTTGAATAAATCCCGCTTTTAACCATGTTTAACTGGCTTTTGGTGTAAATGGGATATAATATTTGCCATGATGGCAATTTATGAAGGAACATCGCTGGTTTTGAAAGGTGAGAAGTGGGAGTTAAGAGTGACGAAAAATTTCGCTCACTCTTTTCTCCTTTTAAACCAATGTACTTTTTATTCTTAGCATTGAATTGCTTGCCTTCAGTTTTTGCTTTTTACTCTGACGATTTCCAAATGGAGACTTATGCACTCACGCTGGCTAAACGACGAAACGTTCCCTCCCCCCGCCCCCCGTAATAATGGCTTATATGTGGAAGCTTCCCCTGAAAGGGGTACTTTTTCAGGCTTCAGGTCTATGAAGGGTAGGGATTTACCTACTTGAAGTGTATGAAAGGGTAGGTAAATCTGTCATTTCGGTCTGTAAAAGGCCCAAAAGGGCTTACAGATGCATTTTATGGTTGTGAAAAAGTCGAGAAAACGTTCTGGTTTTGTGATTTATTCATGTTTAAAGTATAGTGAATTTACAGCAGTTTAAAGAAATTTAAAGCTCTGGAAACAGGGTATTTGGAAGGGATTCTATTTTTCAATAGATGGTAAACGAAAGGGATACCTTTTCTCTCAAAAATGGTGTACAGAAGGGATACGCAAGGGGTTGGACGTCGGGGCGGAGCCTCCCCTTAAAAAACGTTGTTGATAGCCCCCCGGGTCTCGGGCACTCATCATGCGAGCATCTGGAGTCATTAATAAAGCCAGAAAAATATAACACGATGACTAAACAGTATTTTGAACTGTGTTTTTAAACAAGTTGCTAGTTAATTAGATGGCAACAAACGTAAATTAACGGGGTGAAGAAATATGATAAGTTTTACACATCTAAAAACAAATTTCACCACCTCATTAACAAGTAATAAAAGGCATATGTTGAGTCATTAGCAGGGTCTCTAAAACTTTAAGATTTACTTAGAAACATTTGTGGCTTAGAATTGAAATGTATTATAAGTGTTAAAATTTGTCAACGACTTGGGATATGAATTACAGAGAACGCTTGCAAAAAAATTAACATCTTTCTTTAATAAAAAATTATTTCGAGGAAAATTTGATGTTGACGTCGGATTAATTGTCATGATTCTAAATATTTAAAAACATGTTCCTTATTTGAGCTTGTTTAGCAAGTTTTAATCTTCTAAAATTAATACATACTAATTACCTCATTAAACAAACCAAACAAATGTGTGTTGCCCTGAGAGGAAAAAACATAGTTGCTTCGGATACAACTCATTGAGGGAGCTTGCTCTACAGCGTTCAGTTCGCAAAGTCGCCGTCAAGAACTTTGAAGTGATAAACATGTACAAAAAGCTTTTGGTTTGCCTACTTATCTCTGCCCTACTGCTCCTCGACCAAGTCAAAAGCTCCAATGCAGTCCCTTGGGGAAGAAGAGATTTCGCAGAATGGAATCTTTTAAAGGTGATGACTTTCTTTAGAGCAAAGTTGGATAATTTAAAAAAATTGCATTTTTCTTGAAAACACACCTTTTTGAAATTTTCACCCCCTTTGTCAAAATTTCCTAATTTCTTGCGCTTCAGAATTCTCATTTAGTGATTATTATGAGATCTTTCTTCAGTAAGGCGTCTTGGGCGTACGTGTTCAGTTCGCTGTCGAAAGTTTGGTTGTGTACATTTCTATATTGCGTTTGACCGTTGAATAGCTGAAATAAATGAAATCCTACAACAAAAATTCTTTTTATTTATCCTCGGTGATATTTACAGCAAATGCTGTATTTATAGCGCAAAGGCTAGTTAAGTCGAGGAAGCAACTGAAACAAATGATACAAATCAACATACTAGGTTTAAGAATCCCGACTGGCTGGAGTCCTTAAACCAGTTGACTATTTAGAAATCCAGCGAGCAGTAATAAACTCGTATTACAAGTCCAGCTGAGCGCTCTAACCACTCGGTCACCCTTCCTCTGGTAAAAGTCTGCAGTAAAAATATTTGAATTAAAGCTTGATAAACAGTAAAAATTTTCACGGTGTCTATTGAACGAGCGGTTTCTTGACTTCTGAAGCTCTAAACAATCTTCCAAGGGATGCACATATCGAGATTAAATTGTTGTTATGTGAAGTACTTTGCTTCCTTGTTGTTTCTTGTAAAACGGAGAATTGTCTCAATGTAGCCATTCACTCTACAAGCAGCTGTGATGCATTCTCCCTGATACACTATTAGCCTTATGTCATGTAAATTTGGTCTTTTGGTGCGACTTGAGGACTTGCATGATTAAAATTCAGGCTGGTGAAAGCACTGCTCTGCTGAGACGATGGCATGCCGTCAAGGTAATACTGATTATTTTCCCTTTCTATTCCTTACAGAGAGGAACAACCGGAGGTAATGAAGAGCATATATTTTCACAGCATGTTGGTCGGGAAGCTTTCCTCGGAGGCAAAGTAAATAAAACTTAATCAAAGTGATGGCATGCAATTTAAGGAACGTTACAATAGTTAGCTTTAAATTCCCTTGCAGAGAGAGCCTGGCGGAGGTGGCACAGAAACATATACACCACCTCAGCTTTTTGGGAGAGAAGTGATTCAAGGAAAAGTAAGTTGTGCAATGAGAAAGCATTCACTTAGGTGAAACTTATGTTTAAGGCATGCTGAGATTGTAGACTTTCGCTTACAGACTCTTAGTGTGAGGTTCGAGGTGCACTTTACGTTAAAGTGTAGTCACTTGAGCTTTCTTCATGCTTTCGACACTTAAACACCGCAAGAGGTCGCTAAGTACAAATGTAGGTACTCCCCCCACCCGGGGGGTTGAAAACTCCAAAGGCCTTTTTAATGAGGTATAACCTGTTGTGGCCTAAACTCAAGTCGAAAGGATCGGTATTAAACTATTACATTCAAGGTTTCAAACAGTTTGTTAAGGCTCTCTTAAGAGAGGAGAGGGGAGGCGGGGCGTATGAGTCTCTAGTCTGGCTCTTCGTGCATTGCGAAGACGGGTCCATGTCCATATCTATAGTTTACTATTGTATTTTCCCTAATATTTGTCCGCGGCTTTCGCCATTTTATCTAATCTCTTTGTCGTTTACATTTGTCGCCATTTTATCTCGCTTGACGAGGGCCTCCTTGCTATCAACCTTGTGATTTTAATTGCTGTTATTTGCTCTAGCTCTCGGAAATCTGGGCAACAAAATAGTACACTAAGCACGGATACTCAACGAGAATATACTTCAAAACCCGACTTAAACATAGCATTGTTGACCGTATTTTAGTATTAAAACGGTAGATACAGGCATATTTTTTGCCCCTTTTTTTCATCTGTTCGGATTTCCTAGCTGAAAGTCTAGGGCTCCGAAAATTATAGGGATCAAAACTTACCTTTTCGCAAATTTCAGCAAGAAATAAGGCTCCCGAAAAATCTAATTGACCTTTTCAGGGTAAAAATCCGTTAAAACCGGGCAATTATACCATTTTTTAGATGTTCGAAAATCCTAGGAGAGGCAGGCAAGCAGGAAATTTTACAAGAAATGTTCTGAAAATTCTAGATCCCAAATCGTCTTCCGAAAAGATATTTTTCAAAAATTGACGTTGGGTGCCCCTGACTAAGGGCACCTTGCCTGTTCGAAGGAGCCAATAGTGCCTAAAAATTTCTGAAACGCGATAAAGGCTTTTAAAAATTTGTAGATAACCGTTCCATTCGTCTAAACTATTCGGGTTCTTCTATGAACTTACTTTGATTTTCGAAGGTTGTGTTTTCACTTTTTATTACCAAGGAATTTCGATATTATTCTCACTTAAAGGAAAATGTCTCGTAAACATTTCGGTATTGTCGCAAAACGTGCCTGGAATCTTCTAATGAGAGAAAAGCTAATCAATGTCCTCGGAATTTTTGACCTGACCCATTAGGGATAGACTTTCAGAAAAGTCCTTAGTCCGATTTAATATGACCTCTCGCGACTTCGACTTCCTCGCTCGGTTGGCCACTACGCGGCCTAAAAAAGCTCCCTCCGCTCACTAAGAGACTCGTGAGGTCGACTTGTAGTAAGTCTAGGTTAGCTAGTAGTTTCCAGGTAAGGTAAAAAAGCCACCTAAAACTTTCGAGACGACAAAAGTTATCCTGAGACATCCGCACAATAAATACTTTTTAAGGGAACTCCAAATTAGAAAACCATTTGAGACTCTTTTGTCATATTTGGCCATTATCGGGGTGTGTTCTGTATTGAATTGTAATACCTGTCGCAACAGTTGTCGAGAATTGTAATAACCAAGCTATCGTAATTTTTAATAACACGTCATAATTTGTAATAAGCCTAGCTGTCAACATTGTCGTATTTTGAAACACTTCTTAACGTCAAAGGCTATTCTACTGGAATCTTCTTGCCAATCAAAAACATTAAAACTATTATGTTGCCAGCATGATGGCAACAACTAAATCATCTCAGCGACCACCTGATAAACGTATTCGAAACAGTCAACCAACCAACTTACTGCGAGCAACTGCTTGTTACTTCCACTACATATTGATCATAAGGGCCATTAGAAATATTGTACGAGTGGGGCTTAGTGGAACAGTGCGAACCGCGTAAATAGCACACGCACATTATTGGCTTCAGGGAGACTAATTTGAAATGTTTGTCTGACTTTTACCATTTTTTTTATTTTGATGAGAAAAAGTCGCGACAAACACGAAATCAACTAGCCCGAAAGAGTACGTAATGAAGTATTTCTTCAACACATTTATTATATCACTGATGACGTCATTTTACAAAGAAACATCTGAATTATCAGTAGTCTACACGAAAAAGTCCCTATGCTCTGGTGCTTTGCAATCCCCGCGCTTACTAAATCAAAACAAGACTACAGAATAAGGCGCCACTGTGATATGTTGCCCAGTGCTCCTGCTCTGCAGGGACGATGGCATGCCGTGAAGGTAGAACTGAACATTTTCCCTTTCTATTCCTTACAGAGAGAAACAACCGGAGGTAATGAGGAGTATAAAGATTTACAGCACCATGGTCGGGAAGCTTTCGTCGGAGACAAAGTAAATAAAACTGAATCAAAGTGATGGCATGGAATTTAAGGAAAAGTTACAATATTTTCGCTTTTAATTCCTTCGCAGAGAGAATCTGGCGGAAGTGGCAACGAAATATTTAACAAAATTCAGGGGGTTGGGAAAGAAATGATTCAACGCAAAGTAAGTTGAATTGTGCAATGAGAAAGCATTCACTGAGGTGAAACTCACTTATGATTAACTCGATTTTAGTGGAAAAAGCGTAAGCATGCTCAGATTGTAGACTTTCGCTTACAGACTCTTAGTGTGAGGTTCGAGGTGCACTTTACGTTGAAGTGTAGGCACTTAAGCTTTGTTTAAGCTTTCCACCCTTAAACACTGCACCGCAAGAGGTCGCTAAGTGCAAATTTAGGTACCGCCTCAGGGTTGAAAACTCCAACGGCTTTTTTAGTGAGGTAATTAACCTGTTGCAGTGACCTAAACTCAAGTCACAAGGAACGGTATTAAACTATTAGATTCTAGGTCTCAAACAGCTCGTTAAGGCCCTCTTAAGAGAGGAGGGAAGGGGGACGTATCACTCGCTAGTCTTTAGCTAGTGGCTTTTCGTGCATTGCGAAGACGGGTCCATGTCCATATCTTTAGTTTACTATTGTATTTTCCCTAATATTTGTTCGCGGCTTTCGCAATTTTAACTAATCTCTTTGTCGTTTATATTTTTATCTCGCTTGACGAGGGCCTCCTTGCTTTCAACCTTTCAATCTGGGCAACAAAATAGTACACTAAGGGCACACAAAGACTTTTTTCTGCCTCTTCGAAGGGGCAAATAGTGAAAAAAAAATTCTGAAACGCGATAAAGGCTTTTAAAACGGCATTGTTTAGATTTTAACAACACTTTCCACTCGTCTAAACTACTCGGGGTTCTTCTACTAACTTACCTTTGATTTTCAGGGGTTGTGTTTTCACATTTTATGACCAAGAAATTTCGATTATTATTTTAAGGAAAAGGTCTCGTAAAAATTCCGGTATTGACGCAAAACGTGCCCAGAATCTTCTAATGAAAGAAAGGCTAATCATTTTCCTCGGAATTTTTGACCTGACCCATCAGTGTAGCTAACAGTTTCCAGATCAGACCAAAAGCCACCTAAAACGTTCGAGACGACAAAAGTTCCCCTAAGACATCCGCACAATAAATACTGTTTAAGACAACTCCAAATTAGCCAAACAAGTTTTTAAGCACAGAAAAACCCATTTGAGACACTTCTGTCCTGATATTTAGCTACATTCGTTCCTTGGGGGCCCCTCTAATGCAAGTAGTCGGACGAATTTTGATTCTTTTATTCTTCCAAGAAGCTTTCTTTATTTTCAGTCAAAGTGAATATCTTCTGTTATTGTTGTTTTTCTTTTTTTCACCAATATAATTAAAGTCGAAACGGCAGAACCCGTCCACGAGAAAATATGCATAATGAACCCATATTTGCTCTCCACTTCGTATACACTTATCCCACTGTGTGTTATCGTAATTAACAACTTGAATGTTTGGAAAACTCAAAATTTTTCTGTTAAGCGTTAATGTCTAGAATTTAAATATTGAGTGTACTTTCTTTTCGTTGAAGATGCGATGCTGGTGTCATTAACCGTTTGAAATGGCTTTTTTCTGAGTTTTTATTTACTGCAAAAACGTGTCACGTTTTTGTACTTCTTCAAAAGACTTACTTGAGCTGGCTTTGTTGGTGAAAAATAAAAGCTCTTGTGATTGTAGCAGCTGAAATGATATGGAAATAATACCGGTTTTTATTAAACTCCATAACTGACGCCATGAGCTTTTATCACACTTAATTTTTATTGGCGTGTTTTTATGGCTTGATGTAACAGGTGGCGTTTATATAACAGCCGGTCAAATGAAAGAGATATTGGGTTCGAAAAAGGCGCGATCTTATTTTCCTTTAAAATGCATGCATTCTGAAATCATCAAAGTAACTAATACCTTTACCCAAAACCGTACGTTTGTGCAACCAGAAATAAAAGCCGTGAAAATCTCGTATTACGAAGAGGTAGCATTGTTGATTATTCATCATAATCTCTTATAATGATGAGGAGGCACTCTGAAGAAAATTACTTATTCGCCTTATTATATAGAGCTTCACCGACGCGGAAAATGAGCTTGAGTAATATCATGATCTATTGTAACTTTTGCTTTATGCAGGAGTTCTTCTGCTATGTAGAGAAGTGGAATTGCCGGCAATCACAAGGGGTTACTAACATGAGTGCAATAATCATAACCCTCAATGCACATTCACAAAAGAGGACAGAACTTTATCCTCTCTTGACATTCATGATTATTTGGTAAAGTACACAAATATCTCCCCCACCCATCTACCAAGCGCAATAACGTAATTTCCAATAATTTGAGTGAAAACTCTTGTTAATTGTCAGAAAATTAACAAAAACGAGAACAAAAATAAGACAATAAGGTATAAGTCAAAACATCCGCCTGTTATTTTGTCTCCGTAATAATTAGAGAGTTTTTGAGATCAGAAGCCTTTATGCAGATCGAGGAGGGTGTTATCGCTCGAGGCTGAAGGATCTGCATAATTCTTCAGTGGATAATTCTCCGCCTTATCCAATAACTACTCAAAAATATACTCTTGTGTCACAATGGCAACGTCAACAGTGCCGCTATTTAAAAAAAATGTTAAGTACTGTTGGTACATGCAGTGAAAGCATATCCGGAAGCTTTTACCTTTATTTGTTTGCTACTGAAGACGAGAAAAGTAAAAAAAAAAACTTGAAAAGTTGTCACTTGCTTTGTTTTGTTTATTTTCCTTCTTTCCTTCTTTCCTCTCTTTTCTTCATTTTTTTTTTTGTCATTGAGTTAAAAAAAAAAAAACCTTTCCTTCCACAAGTTTATATCTCAATTTGCTTTTCTTTTAAAAATTGTCTTAAAATATATCTTTTGGTTTTGCATGCCTAACAAGAAAGGGGGAAAGTTGCGAAAAGATTATTTGTGAGGGGACAAAGGTGGCGGGGGGGGGGGCTTACAAAACAGGGTGAGAGAGGTAGATTTTAAAGATCCTCATTAAAGCCCACTCCGATGACTTATGAATCATCACGAATTTTTTACTCGTTTTTTTTATTTCTGCAGATCTAACACATACGAAACACATACAAGTTTTAACGCGGTTTCACGGAGCAAGCAGCAGATGTTCAACAGACAGATAGAGCGTGTTTTCACAGATAAAAGTTTTAAAATATTGTTAACATTTATAATACCCTAGAATAAAAAATGTCTTTGAACTGCAGATGCTGTTTGTTTTTATTTTTGTTTAAAGTGCCTGGCTACCTAGAGAATATTAATCAGTCGCTTAACCCTACATACTCAGCGCTCTACTCAAAGTGAAACTGATTAACTAAGAGTCAATGAGGTTATTATATATTGCATACATATGAAGGAAAAATGTTCCTGTCTATAACAATATATATTTCCGTTAAGGCTTAAAATTAAATTGATACGAAATTTGCTGGGATTAGTGCAGTAACAGCCGAGAAAGATAAAAGGTTTGAAACGTGAATTTAAGAAGGACGTACGTAAGCCAGCTATTAGCAAGAGTTTATAAAGTTAGAACTTTTTTTTCCCGATGTCTCCAACACAAAGTTTTGCGAGTTGTTTAACATGAGACTGATATTACTTAACATTTTAAAATCGCGTTGTAAAATCAATATAAATACTAGAGAGATTAAGCATCGCGTTTTCGGCAAACAGCAAACGTGAATTTGCGCCACGTGACCAAGTTTTCCATTTACTTATCGTTTACTGTTTATATATCTACGCGAAAATCGGTAGGTTTACGCCGATTCTCTCCATAACAATTGTTTTAAGCTGATTTTATCTGCTCATTTGTCATTTTGAACATTTCTCAACTTGAATCTCACGTTTGCCGTTTGCCGTAAACGCGATGCTTAATCTCTCTACTAATACAGGGAAAAGTGGGGAAGTTTGAGATCTTAATTAGTACAACAAACTTTGAAATCAAGCAAACAAAAATATAGGCATCTAGACAGTTTTGCAATGTACATTTCAGAATTAAGAAAAGATTCTTATAGTAGCAAGACTATCACAAAAATAGCCTCATGGTAAGGGCCCCATATTTGCACGTTTTCATCAGGCGATGCTGCTTTGATATTCACTTGGCGATCGACAGCAAAACTGAGGAACAGGAAGGCCGAGCTCATGTGTATTCATTCAGCTTGTTGATTGTTTTTTCCTTGGCAAAGCTTTGGCAGGAGCCTGGCTTTGGACAGTTATTTTTGAAGAAAAGAATTTGCTTCCCTTGCACTTATCTGTGGAGTAACTAAAAAACGGATGATTTTGATGAATAAAAATCATGTCATGAAGTTGAAGATTTATAGCGAGCAGGTGCTGCATTTGAGAATCACGCAAGTGAGCCGCGAAAGCTAGGGACTGGTGCGCAGAGGGAAGTCCCTCGACTCTTGCAGTTTCGAATTATCAAATTTTATACTTGACTCCAATACTTAGGGCAAAAAAAACAAAAGAAATGAATTGTTCATCCCTGAATATCAATGCGATTAAAACCCTCAGTCTCGAAGCTTAAGCCAAATATGAATTTTAATAACTGGAAACTAGTCTACTCAGAGCTTGTTAAAAAAAAAAACGCTTTTGAAGGCAAAGCCACAGCAACAAACCAGTGAGGTTAGCCGGATATTAGAGAGCTTTAGATTCTGAGACGAGCACGACTACGAGTACGAGATTTTCCCAATACCAGAGAGTTTAAGCAACAACGTTTTTGACGGACGCACGTCAACCGGAAGTGGCCTTTTTGAACTCTTCATCCGTTAATTTGAACAACTTTTTTGGCAAAACCTCTCTTTTAGAGTAAAGAAACTTAGCAATGCAAATTTGATAGCGTCAAGATAAATGAAAAGAAAAAAACCCTCACTTCCGGTCGACATGCGTCGCTCAAAAAGGTTGCTGCTTAAACTCCCTACTTAGTATTGCGCTCGCGCGCGCGAACCAACGTCATTTTGGCGAGAAAATGTTTTAGCCGTCGTTTGTCTACTACGAGTTTTAGCGAGAGTGTCGTAGTGGCGAAAACAAGTTAACTGCAAATGTTAGAAATTTTATCATTTTACGACCGGGCGAGGGCTTAACCTCCTTCAACGGAGATAAGCGTGTCAACTTTTGAGGTGGAAAAAGGTACAATAAAGCTTTCCGGGGTGTCTATTTTTAGAGAATAGGGCAGAAAACTTAAAATTAAATGTTGTCCTCGTAGTGTCCTCGTCCTCGAATCTAAAGCTCTATAGTAGATATCTGGATCGGTAAAATCTTCAATACCAGAGGAAGAGGGAGAGAAAAAGTAAAGAAAGAAAACAAAAAATCAGATGGTGAATTACGGTAAAATTCCAAAAATAAGCCCCGGGGCTTATATTTTTCAAAGGCCCTTTTTGAGGGGCTTATTTTTGGAGGGGCTTATGTACGGAGGGAAATTTGCGTCTCAAAATCGATTGGGCTAGCCTCAAAGTTGGAAGTAAATTTGCCATTTTTGCTTCGTTTTACTTTGTATTCGAGGGCAAATTCCAAGTACAAGCCCCCCCGGGGGGCTTATATTTGGAGGGGCGATTTAACGGAGGGTCTTTTGCGTTACTATTTTGGGGGGCTTATATTTGGAGGGGCTTATTTTCGAAATTTTATGGTATATATAACGATAATTTGGTTTGCAAAACAAACCTTCAACGGGTTCTAAAAAAGAAAAATGAATACAAAGACAAGATGAACGTTACATCTGTGAGATTTGAATCGTAAAAACGATAGGCTAGTGAGAAAGATCGTTTTACGATTTGGCATCAACAGAGCTTGTTCCAGGCTATCAAAAAGGGGTAAACAGTGTTTTCTAATCTATGGACTATGGACAATTGAGCTTGAACCTATGGAATATATGTAAGGTAATGTTCTATTGGGATCAAACATTTTCAGCAGAAATGATTTTAGGTGATTTGGTTGAAACACAGCCGTCAGCGGTAGATCTTCGTCTGCGTCAGCGACAAGAGATCTGGGGACGAGATTGAGCGTCGCGAGCAAAGCGCGAAAGTCCACGCTTGTTATCATGAAAACGGCTTTAGCTGGCTGAAAAGGTTCATCATTCATTAACCAACTAGTCTCCATTTAGGAATTATAATAAAAAGTCACTCGTCGATCGAGAACGGAGCGCTACCGACGGTAGGAGACTTTCTCCCAACCAAAAACGCAAGTATGGCTTCTATGGATAGCAGTTTTTAATTTTTTCAAAAACTAAAAGAGCTACCACATGGAAATATAGATTTCTATCTATCTATACAATTATTTAACTCTCTAATATATACTCCAGACAAAATGGAGCTTGTTAGGCGACGCGAATGAGCCTTATACAGTGATATCAAAGGGTTTTTTTTTTATTTTACAAAATTCTTTTACCTTTATGGGAAATAATATGTTTCTTCTCAGTTCCTGTAGTAGACCGCTGGTCCTCTTGCGCCCTCTCGAGTGACTCTTGGTAATGCTCTGATCCTTCTTGATGCTTTTCTCTGAAATCGTAGTAATGTTCCTGGAATTTCTCGTGAGCGACGTGCTGATTTTCATGGTGCTTTTCGTGCACCTGCTGTATGTGATCGATATTGTTTCGGATATCTTCGCCATAATGATCGTAGAACTCGTGGAAATATTCGTAGGACATATAGCCCCACTGAGGGGCTGAACGCACGATGACAACGATCGTGCAAGCCAGTGTTGGAATAATAATCCAGCAGTTCATGTTCTGTCTGATGGCGGGATTATCATCTAAAGGAAATTAAACCTTACTTGTTTTAACTTTTTTCTGATAGATGTTACTAAAAGCTGTAGAGAGGATCGAGGAACTAGCACGGAGAACAGGAAAATGAAAAATGAGAACAAAACCCAACTTGAACCCTAGCCCTATCAGTAACTTCATTTCCAATTCTCTGTTTTGTTCTCATTTTTCATTCAGTCCCGTTCCCCGTGCTCGTTCCCCGCTTCCCGTTCCCCGCTCCCCGTTCCCCGCTCCTCGTTTCCCGTTCAAGTAACAACCTGTTGGTTCCACACAATTATATAGATATCCTTAATTGTATTCTATTAATGTGACTTTATTTTATAAGATTGCCAATATATGTTGTGGTACTGCACAGCGGCTTGAAGCCACTGGATTGCTGTGGCACGTAGTAGTCTAAGTCCGTTCGTCCATATCACAGATAGACCACAGTACTGAGGTCTTCGTACCCCCCCCCCCCGGGGGGGGGAGTTACTTTCTTATAATTGGCTAATGGAGATGTGCCGCTGGATGGGGTCTCATTTTCACGACTGGATTGACTATAATGAGGTTGCATTTTCAATAGAGTTACCAGAATGGGGTCGCACATTTTCGGATTTTTGGAGTATGACAGTTCTTCATATTTACGGTTAGCAAATGTATCAGAATGTTTGTACTGTAGGTGAAAAGTAGAGTGTCCTTTATTCAATTTAAAAAAATGGATTAATCCATTTTAGGATGACCTAATTAAAGGAATGATAAGATAGATACATAAATGGAAAGTTGCTAAGTTACGAATCGCGAAAATTACAAGTGGCCCAAAAGCGATAAAGATGAGGTCTATCGTTGGCCACAGAACAGACTATCAATAATGGGGTCGGAGCTCTGGGAGGCCAGCGGCACATACCCAGCAAAAATTAACCCAAGAACACCCCGGACGTCAACTCCCTAATCTTTAGTTTTAACAGCAGTGTGGATTCTTTTGCGTCTCCTTTGAATTGATAAGAAAGGATCAAGAAGACAATAATCTTCATGTGCGGTTCAGACGCCAAACGTCCTTGACAACATACCTTATACATCCGTAAGATTGAGAAAATAAAAGCCTCAGCGTCTGGATCGAAACAGCTATTTTGATTTGCAATACTTTGATTCAGACATGGGCCATTTCATGTGCCGAACAAGATTTAAGAAATGTGTCTCTTTTCAAACTAATAAGGTTTGGCGTCAGAATTAGCGGGGGGCAGTTTCGATACTTTGGTTCATTATGCGGGCCTAAACTAATATTAGAATTAATTTATGTCGCCTCTTAAAAAGTTCGGCGTTTGAACATGGGCTTAGTAGAAATAACGCAAAATATCAAGGACGGTACCATTTAACCTTTCTTGATAATTTATTGATTGTTCAGAACTTGATCATGACTAGTTGTTGGGGATTCTTCATGGGAACTCCCTTCGTGCAATCTGTTTTCAAGACATATGGTCAGCTCAAATGGTAACCACGAGTCTCTTTAATCATTATTTGTTATCTCTAACTGACTTAAGGAAAAAAATAAGGATGGATTTTGCCTACTTTCTTCTTGTCATATTTATTTATAAGAATGGTGTTTAGCTCTAATCAATCTCGAAATGAAAGACTATGTAGACACGATCTTCACATCCAGGCAGTAAGGTATTCAAACCATATGAATCATTAGGAAATGTTTATGAATCCTAGCCTATTGCATTTTTGTCCAACCTTTCATAGCTTTCTCAGTAATGAACAATCATAACAATAATGTACGTAGTTTCCATTCGATTCACTCGTCAACTTCGAGAGCCAATATTTCCCAATCTGTGATTAGTTACAATAAGCATTAATAGTATATTCACTTTTAGTAAAAATAATACTGAGAAAGCTCGTTCATAAAAGATATGTTTGTGGTGTAGCTTTTTCGTTTGTTATTTTTGTTTATCATGGTGTTTTTCGGGCATAAGATAGACAAAACTCACAAATTCAACTTTAACAGGTAAATCAACGTTGCGTTTTCAGGACCACCTGTTTTACTGTCCAAACATTTTTCGATCTTCCTCGGGAGACGTTTTTGTTGAAAGAATTAATTTGTCATGACTTGGCTGTCCTTATTACAAACAGAAATTAAATTTTACTTACCTTCAGAGGACTGTGTTTAATGGTGACAATAATGTGATGTTTCAAGCAATCAATTTGCTTGGAGACCAAGTTGCTAGGATAACGTCATCCGGCATGTCATTTCATCAGAAGTGACAGATCGAATTTTGAACGATGTATTCCTTACACAACTTAATAAACAAAACCAGATCTCGAGGGGCTAGATGGGTATTTATTTGTACTCGCATCAGTATTGACAACAGTCGCTGGAGATCACGCTAGGTACACAAGTTTGATCGCACACTTGTCCGGGGGGGTACTTCTAGGAATTCTTGGTGGGGGTGTGTTCCTCGGTTCTCGGAATCCTGACCCAATTTCAGAACCAAAAAATGTCATTTTTTACACTTGTTTTCAGACTTTCAGGCCTTTAAAATCCATATCCGTTTTCAGACCTGCCCTCTAATAAATTATGCCATCATTACTTAGATTAGAACGGTAACGAAAAAGATTTCTTAAAATCCATTTTCAATTCGCATATTTCTCTTTCTTTAGCATTTGGAATTGAAACGATACATACGTTCGTAAACTCCCGTAGTTCCCTCGAAAACCATACCCGATTCCAGACCAAAATTGACAAAGTCTATATCCGTTTCAGTTCAGACCAAAACGGCACAAAAACCCTACCCTTTGGGGCGGAACAGATGCCCTGATATAGAGGGTCACCCAACCAGCTGAGTCAACTTGAGCCCTATGCGTTTATATGAGAAAAACGTTGACTCCTTTACCCGAGCCAACGGCAATAGCGCATGCGCTGATTGTCTCGCCTTGCTCTAGTCGACAAAGCAGGGGAGCAAAACTGTTTATGTCGTGAAAAGTTGGCTGGGCTAGGAGGGTGACCGGCCTGCTATTGAAAAGGGTGACGCTCAGGGTACATGGAGTACGGCGAGTGACCCTTCTACCCGGAAGAGGTTTTCCACAAATAAACAGGGCTAGGGTTGTATCCACCGACACAAGCTCCGACAACCACCTCCAAGAGATGGTGATCCTGAAGGGAAAATAGGGAACCGCATTCTACCCCTCTCTAACGAGGACTACAACATTTCCGTACATGAATTTCATTCCTCTGAAAATAAATTTATTGAAATGTTTTCTGTATTGAAACAACGTAACAACTTAGAACAAAGACAAATATTTACAAGATTGAAATGAAATGTTCACGATGTAACCGTACCTGCGTTACCGAACTGGCGTTAGGCATTTTCTCTTGCTATAGAATTTACACTGACGAACACATAGTTGACGAATCGACAAAGGAACATCATCTAATGTTGTAGGATTCAAAAGCCACTTAGGTGTTCGCAATCTATCCAAAACGTCAAGTTTATAATGCTTCCATTTTTCTCCTGTTACAAAGCTGTGAAAGATCTCGTTTGTTGAAGGGAATTCTCTATCGCGCTGTAGTCTCATCTCCTCTTCGCTTTTTCCTTGATCATGCTTAATCATGACGGTTCTTGGCACCATAACGATCTCAACCTAAAGGCAATAACTCATCTCAAATTTCGGAATAGTTTCATAAACGTTTTGAAAGCTGTTCGCTACACTGCACTGGAGAAAACAAAGAAATCATGTTAAGTTTTTGGTTTGTCTTTTCTACAAGTAGCTAAGATTCAAGAGGTAATAACAGTCAGTCAAAAAAGGCGTGGAGTATTCACAGAACATAGTAAACAGTTAACTCAAAGCTGAAATAAATGGTGTTTTAATATGGCCTAAAATAAGGCCTAAAATAACTTTCAATTGAAAAAAAAAAACCTGCCTTTTCTATTATATCTACAAGCGCTGAGACTTTCACTCTTCTTAGATAACCACCATAGGTCCATCTCACCTCAAACTTTCACTTAATCTAACTCTATGACGAAGTACAAGAACCACTAGTGACCTCCCCCCTAGTATCTCCGTCATGGGATTTGGGAATGATAGGGAGGGGAGGGCACCTCGCATTGGACCTACAAACACAGATCGTCTCCATCACCACTGAGTAGATCCGTGAAGAGTACAGCTAGTAAATCATGTGTTTCCTATCATTATTGTCAGCATCACGTCTTTTCGCAATTATACCCTCCTCTCTTTATTGCGGACAACCGCGGGACAGCGAGTTAGCGATCTTAAAAGCCAAAATCCCTTATATTTGCTGGAGATCTAGCCGCTGTCCATAATTGCGACGTGTCAAAAGGGTGAAAGGTAACTGTATACAAATTATTGCATTGTGCAGAATATTATGATTGTTTTTACTTATAGATTTAGCCAAGCCTAAAAGCTGAGCTCTTTTTATATTCTAAACCATACAGGAGAATCCTTAACTGTATTGTAGTTATAAATACGTAGAAGGAAAAGCAGACCCAAACACATTTTTATTTTGAACAGAAAATCACCAACATACGAACCAAATGCCAAGCAATACGAGGCCAGTTTTTTTTCCAAAGGAATTATGCAAATACTTAGATTTCTTATTCTGTTCGTCTTCTGTGTCGGATCACAGAAGATGTCAAATGTGGCATCAGCTTCATGACCAAAACGCCATTCTTACCACATTTCGATTTAATGAACACACATTGCAATCTATTTTTAAGCAAGGTAGAGTCATTACTAATCAAACACCTCCCATATAGTTACCTAAAGCACAATTTTCCTAGCTTGCGTGGAAGGCGTTTGAAGCCGTGGAAGGAGAAGGTTAGCCTCCCACGCACACTTTCTAAGGAATTCGTTACGATTTCCTGCCCTACCAGGAACGCATGACAAAGCCCTAAGTAAGTCTGCGTAGGAAGCAAGAGGAAGGTGAATGTTGCGTGCGTGAACGAACGGCTCACGAGAGAGGGATACGCAGGCTACAATGTTCCTACCTTTTTAACTGAAATGATGCTCATTTTAGTCAAATCCTCTCCAACACCAAAATAGTCTCCTTCACCCAGGCGAGCTATCACTAAAAAGTACTTTTTGACTTGATCATGGGTCTTCACATTGAACAGGGGGTCGATTTTGTTGTCTGCTCCCACGGGGGGGGAGAATGAGTCTCTTTTTGCCCACAGCAGGTTCCCTCCTGACCAGAACCATCTCTCGCACAACATTGCATTGACCTGACCTTATGAAGAAAACGAACTCGCCGGGGGTACGCGTGTCTCGAAGAATCACCTGGTTTGGACAAGAAGAAGTAAAGGAAGTATGTTCGATACTGCTAATTTTTATTCAAAAATTGTAAAACAGACGTTTTATTGATAAATCGCTGTACGTTTTAAATGTCCAAAATTGCATCCCAACTGGCGGCGATGTGCTGTCCACAGCTCTGTGAGCATTTGTATTCAGTATTGTGCTCTGCAACAAATGGTGGCCTTAGTCGAAAAGCGCCCGCATAAGGACTTGTGGGACTGTCTGGGGATGCACAGGGAACTCACAACGGTACTTGAAAATATATTTGCTAAACAGTGAAGTGAACAAAGAGGGAACGAGTTTGAAGTAACCTGATGTTTTGAGCTGTTTCTTCACTCATTTCGAGCAACCACAAACGCAAATCTCCAATTGCTACTTGACATGGCTCTAAAACAATTCCCTGTTAGAGCCGACATTCTATATCACTTCGTTTAAAAACCAAAAAGAACAACAAGAAAATCCAAGGAATTATGCTCGGGTCAAGCCGGCAAAATACTCACGAACCTCCGAAATCTAAATCGGATGCTGTCTCTCTCTGAGCTGTTGGGTGCAATTCGAAGTTCTTCCTTGCCCCTACCCCCTAAACAGTCCCATAAATGTTTTGATTCCAGCCTATCACTCTTTTCCTAAGTAAACTATAGACATTCCAAGATTTTATTTCCCGATCGTGTGAATCAAAAGAAGATGGTAGGTGTGAATGACAACGGTAACTTTTTCAAACAGTTTCTGCACATCATTGGCCTTTTTCAACAGGGGTTATAGATCTTATTCTACTGAGATAAAATTTGTCATCACAAAAAACCTTCTAAGGATATGAATATAAAATATGTAGATTTAGCCGAGGCGGAAGGCGAAGCTCCTGTTAATGAAAAAACATTGCAATAGAGAAATCCAATTAGAGTTGAGCCTAATATCGCTTGTCAGCGGTAAACTTAAAAAAAATCACGTAACCTTGATGGGTAGACAACTGAGCCCATGATACGGTATACTGTAATACTGGTAAGCGGAAGCCCTCTTTTGACAGCTGTCAATTGACCACAACATAGATGTGCAGAATCAGGTTGCAGGCTCCCACACTAGCTAGAAAGTGTAACATTTCACATTGGTTTGCCTGTGGTGCGGACTGACTGACTGGCGGGTGGGTGGACGTACATTCACGTCACTACCAAAATTTCTTTGATGGTTAGGTAACCAAATTTTCTAAGTTGTCGGGCTCCTCTATAAAGAATCGCTTTAAAAGTAGATTATGAGTAGCAACTTTCGATATAATTTTGCTCTAAAGTTCAACGCAAAAAAGCAGTCTTTTTCAAGTAAGTACAATGTGATCTTCGGCCATATCGAAATTTTTCTTAATTATTAAAATGACCTCACAACTAATGCCTGATACATTTTAGAGTTACAGGATACCTAAAAACGATGATAGGACTTCGTGGATGCGGTAGTGTTTGTAATTTGGTAATTACATGTATAAGCACGTCTCGCGTATAACGTATGAGAAATCGCTACCGCCTTGCTCACTTTTGTAAAAAAATAGAAAATTCGTCGGCCAATATATTAGCTTCGGAATATCCGATAAAAAAAATGCTAAACTCTTTAAAGTTTACTTTTCACTTAAGGATATCTCCAGTGGTACTGGTTCTTTAAATAAGGCGAGACTAAAATATGAAATTTACTTAATGCTTAATACTGGCCCAATAGCTATGTGATTTTGGACGGATCTGTCTTGGTACAGAATTTACTGGTCTGGTATTTCCCGCTTTCGATCCCACTCTACCATACACCACGACTATTTAATTTGCAATAACCAAAATGTCTTCCCAACGGGCCAAAAACTGCGTAGGTCAGACGGTCATTTCCCGATATTTGCAGAGAAAACTCAGCACGAAAACAGCTGCAAAATTACGCCACCGCGAAAGAATCTTTTTGGCATGTCACAGTGTATATCAAAAGGTCCGCAAACTTCATATTTTAGTTGAATTTTAAACAGATCGGGGATTATTTTATGACTTTACGATAATTAGGAAAAAAGTCAGCTATAAAGCATTTTTCTGCAATATCCTAAACATACTGAAACTTACACCTTTTTTAATAACTGAACTGAAATTCAAGAATGGGGGGAAGTTTTCAACGAATTTAATTCTCGTTTGGTCTCCCGTTTACTTATACATTTTCAGTAAAATATATTCATTTCCTCTGTCTATTTCTTGTCTAACTACTCCCTAATATGTAAATTTTTCCGTAATTTTTTTCGAATTATTTCTATTCAAACTTAGATCCTGCGATATTTTCATTGTTTCTGTAAAATGTGATTGTCACATTTACCTAAACCGACTACTTCATATTAACTTCATTGACGTTTGTACTGAATTGTGACAATTTTTGAGACAAAACGTCATTCCAAGTCAATATTGGGCGTGTGGTTGTGTTTGACCATCTGAAGACAAGTCAGAACATGTGGGGATCGCCATTATTTGACGGATTAATTACATTTTTATTTTAAAAGATCAAACTAGGATAATTAACTTGCGTCTCCAGTTTAAAACACCATCTTTCGGTCCTTTTAAGATTTTTTTTTTTGTCTTTCATAAATCATTCCCTCTTGCAAAAAAGCAAACTCCAGTATGCCTTGTTTGTATTTCACCTGTCTTTCAAAACACACAGTGACTCATTGTATGATTTGTCATCTCAGTGGAAGTTAGTCTTTCTTCAGTTTCTTTAAGCCATTAACCACTCGTTTTCTACTCGGTTTTCTTTTTCGCTTCGCTACATTTGACACTCAGGCGCAAAAAGACAATATGATTCGCCTTTGAGAAATAAGAAGTTAAACTCAACCATCGAAAAGTGTTCAGTTAATTTCACCACGGAAGTGAAAAACAACAAACATTGCCACCGTCAATTATTCTAACAGAGAAAATCAACTTTTAGAGAACGCGCACGTGTATAGTCTGTGTCTCCGTGGCGTGTTTGTAACAACGAGCGGCATTAATGGCCAACGTAACAGCGGCAGGGGATTTTTGCGCACAGCCAACGTCTGCATCTTTTGTCGCCCAGGCGTGTTTTCTTGTCTTCATAACCGTCACAACCTTACTGGGAAATCTCTCGGTTTGCTTGACTGTCTTGCTTAATAGTAGTCTTCACACGTTTACCAGCTATCTCGTGGCCTCATTGGCTTGCTCGGATCTTTTGGTTGCTACTTTGTCGCTGCCATTTCGCATTAGTCAGACACTTCATAATACCAGATGGTGCCTAAGTGAAGAAGCGTGTGTGTTCTGGGTATGGGCTGATTTATTCTGCTGCTGTGCGTCCATCGGCAATTTAGCTTTGATAAGCGTCGACCGCTTTTTGGCCACGAAATACCCCCTCAGATATCACTTGATTGTTACGCGTAAAACGTCCTGGCTGATGCTCTCATCGGTTTGGATTTACTCATTAATCGTAGCCTCGTCTGGCTTGACAAACTGGACTGTTCCATCTGGGGCTCTTGTTGAGACTAATCACGGCTGTTACAAGCCAGATCGTTATTTCTACACTTTTGCTGCCATTGTGGGTTTCTTTCTCCCACTTTCGATCATTGTATGTGCATACTGCTACATTTTTAAAATCGCCCTGGACCATGTTCGCGCCATTTCGAAAATTACCATGATTGTTCTACCAAGTATACCGCAAAGCAAAGAGAACAACCAAACATTGTTTAAACAGCAGCTCAAAGCCACCAAGACTTTAGCGATCGTGGTGGGCGCTTTTGTCATCTGCTGGATGCCGACCTTTGTCATTATTTTGATTCAATCTTGGTGTCAAAGCTGCCTGAATAGTCAACAAAATCCTAAATTAAAGGGCTTGTTTTCTTTCATCAACGTTGCGTTTGTCTATACGCTACCAAACATTAACTCGGCCATCAATCCTTTTATTTACGTCGTTTTCAGCAAGGATTTGAGGCAGGCTGTTATCAAGACTTTTAAAGGTCTTTATCAAGAAATATGTGACATAAGATCAGCGAGAACGAACCCGGAAATAACCAGCCTCACGTGATATCATTCGTTCAGCTGATAATCTGATAATCATCTGTCCAATCATAGTACTGCTGTCGAACGCGGGAACCAATCAAAATCTTCGCATTTTGGGTGGTCGCCTACGGAAGGTTCAACTGTAAGAAATTGGCAAATTATTATTTTTTATTTGTTTATTCCTTAGCAAAAGTTTAATTTCAGTTGGCTTGTCAAGTTATGACTGACCGTCCCGAAAACCTGGGGCAGTTGGCACTTAACAAAAGAGGAGGAATGATTTATAGTGGAAAGTGCAATTGTCCAGCTAGTTTACAGGTACTCCGATCATATAATTCTGAAACAAATGATGGAAATCAAGAGATCATAATAATATGGCTCTTGTGCAAACAGAACATAACAGGATTAAAAAAACCCAACTGGCGGGAGGAGGGACCAGTCGGGTATTTATATACAAGCGTGACCAAGGATTTGAGTCGGGATAACCGAGAACAAATCCAGCAAGTCCCCAGAGCGGGACTCGAACCCGGGACCCGCCGGATTGCGAGTCCGATGCAATGACCACTCGGTTACACTGCCTCCCATAAAAACCTTATTAACTCGCGTTTTAAAAAATGTTAGCCTGCGTACTCAGGAAATAAAAAAGTCATCGTCAAGCTACATCAACTATCATCTTCATTCTCCGTATTACGAACAAGGTAAAAAAAAAAAAAAAAAACACTTTACACAGCATAACAAATAAATTCAAAATGGTCTTCACAAAAATCTATCACTTTATAATTTTATCCACAGGCTCAAAACTTGTAAGAACCACGTTGTATGACGTAATAAACCATACCACGCAATAGATAAGGACGGATCCAGAAATTGTTATTAAGGCGGGCCGATCGGGTATACTTGTGAACACTGTAAACAGGATATGCTGGGTTCGAATCTTGAAAAAGCGTATTTTTCTTTTTCTTTTCTTTTCTTACTAACTTTTTTTATAATTGTAGTTTTTCTTGTTTTGTTTTTATACTGCATTTTTATAGTTATATATTTTCTAGTTTTCCTGTTGCATTCTTCCACTTTCTTCCTCTTTTTTGCTGTTAGCCTCAAGTGCTGCGCGAGGCTCGGCGATTTACGTATTTCTAGCGTAAGAAATGATCCGAGGGGTACGGGTCTCATCAAACCCTATACAACTCTAACTAACGAATTAGAACCGAACGCACGCTGTTGGTTCTGCACTTACCGTGTTTTCAGGGTATTCCACTAGCTTTGCTCTGGTATTGACTTTCTGTAACTCGGCATTTGAGTAGGTACTGAACTGTGGAAGTGTCTCCAAAAATGATATCCTTGTTTCCCATTCTTGCTGATGTCCTTTTTTCAAAACCTGCCATGCACAAATGCAATTAAAAACTGAACACCCGACTCAAAAAAATGATAATAAGGAATGTCACATTACATATCACTAACTGAAATTTGAGGACAGATGGTCTCTACTTCTGATCGGCTAGAAAAGGTACCCCTAAAGCAAATAAGTATGTGGCGATCGGATTCCCGATCGAACTGGTGTTGCAAAGGAGGATACCGCGAAGAACGAAAACACGGTGCGAGGAGGATTAAAAAGTTCAACCTACGAAACAGACGTCAAGAAAATAGCCTCTGCTTCTTCAGTTTGTTTAGGCTAAGAGAAGTCTCTCTTTTTTCTTAGTCCATCGAGCGAAACACGCCGCTACGAGTACGAGATTTTCTCAATACTACGGCTGGTGCTCGTGCGAGAACCAGCGTCATTTGGGCGGGAAAATTTGGTCACCGTCGTCATTCTACGACGAGTTTTAGCGCGAATGTCGTGGTGGCGAAAACAAGTTATCAAATGTTAGAAGTTTTATCATTTTTCGATCGGGAAAGCATGCAACCTCCTTCACTAAAGATAACAGAGCTAACTTTTCTGGTGAAATATGGTAAAATGGAGCTTTCCGGGAAGTCTATATTTTGAGAATACGCGTAAAAACTTCATGTCAAATCTCCTACTCGTAGTCGTCCTGGTCCTCAAATCTAAAGGGTCTCTATTTCAAGTCAGTAACACCTATTCTGACTGCTAGATGCTATATACATTGACTATACCCAAAACAAATGCTCACCATATCAAAATCCGGTTTGTCCACTCTCAAGAACTCTGCATCGCCTTTGCAAATAATAGTGGCCGTTCTCTTGATGTCGTGAAGAAGTGCCAGTTCACCAAACGAGTCTCCAGCGAACATCTCCCCAACAATCTGTTGAGTAAAGTAAGCTAATTTTTTTCCTGGCAGTTTAAGGGAACAGTGTCAAAGAGATTTAGCACTACTTGAAACAAAGAAATCGCCCATACCTGAGTGAAAATCGAGTAATTCATGTACTAGTTACCTGTTAGCCAACTGCTACTTAAAGGGACACAGTCAGCTATGGGAGCGCGCTTGCCTGGACACTACTTTTGCCAGTTTAAAAAGCGTTTACCTCAACCCGAAGTCAAATATACACGTCTGATACATCTAGAAATCCGCTTCAATCATACCTAGTGTTTCATTCGTTCCTCGATCTTTTACTGAAGATCTCTTTCGAATTCGGAAGTATTCGTCGATGTTTGGGTTCCCTGGAAAAATCCATCGGTTAATTCTCAATGGTATGTAAAAAAAAAAAATGAGTGCTCTGATGTGGCTTAGGGCCTACAATCACGATTTTGCCTTGTAGCTAGTTCAACTCTACAAGGTTTGTTTAGGGTATTCCGGAAACGCTTTTGTTTCACATGCAAATCAGCTAAGAAATGGCATTTAATGAACATGTGCATCAGCTGATTGTGTCCCTTTAATCAGATAGCCTTTTGATTTGATGTCTGGACTGAATTTCAAGCTGTGGATTCCGGATTCCACTCAATGAACTCCGGATTCGATTTCATTGTCAGTGGAACCTGGATTCCGGATTGCAATCGCTAGCGGGATTCCTGATTCTTTCCGCTAAATTTCGGATTCCAAAGCCCAGGATTTCCGATTGCAGAAGAATCCGTATTGCCTTAAATTATCCGGGGGGAATCTGGGCCGATTGCCTGCTTCAATTAGAAGAATGAATTTTTGTCTTTCCCTTTGCTTTAAGGACCCTCTAGAACTCAACGATTCTGCCTCAAGTTTATAGGAAATGAAAGTCTTACTGATCGCAGTTATCCGGTTTTTCGGACCAGAAGTGGGGAAATGAAATTGCTTCGAATTATCGAGCGAAAAAATTCCTTTTAGTCGGGAAGTCATGGAATGCAAAAATTTGTTTTTTTCGACTGAGAAGATAATTGCAATCCGACGAAGAGATTACGCTCGAACGTCAGCTTGAAGCTAAGTTCATTGCAAGCCTTTTGTCAAACCAGTAAAGCATTGGTATGAGGAGAGCAACATCAACTGCCAGTTGTTTGAATGTAGATGGGACCATTTGGGGAGTGGGGGGCGGGGGGGGTGAAGGAGACGTTATAAGCAGCAGCAGCAGCAGTCAGCAGTTTGTGGTGTCTTTATTAATAACCTGTTTGTTGGTGATTCCTGTTACTTTATCTTTCTCTTCCAATTGCACTAACACGGTTCCGCCCACAATGAAATACATCGATCTTCCAGGATGACCTGTGTTCAAGATTGAGACAGCTATAATTTAAACTATTTTTTTAGTTTATCACAACAAATTGCAGTCTGCCATAGGACCATAAGTCGCCTTAGACCACTTGAATCAATCAGTTAATTAATCAATTAATTGGTTCAGGGACTATCGAAATGCAGTGGACATTTTATCGTACGTCCTACGCTTTCTACGCCGGATAATCGATTCACCCGATGGCGTTTCGTCTAAACTTACGACGATTCGACCGATGATACATTACACTCACATCAGGGTAAACATACTTTTGAGACATGCTATTTTAGTTATGTCGTCTTATGTCTGGGCGAACTGCCGTTGGGCGAATTTATCATCGGGCGAAACGACCTGATACCGCCCTGCCTTTACATTACGCAATATATGATACCTTGCTGAACTATCACTCTTCCATCCCCAAAATGCTGATAGTACACGACTGTGGCCAGCTCTCTTTTGATGTGTGCAGTGTATCGACTGAAGCATTGTAGTTTATCTACCACATTGTAAATTATCTAAAGAGAAGAGTTTGTTACCAGTCAGAATTATGCTGAAACCAGTAATAACATGTAGGCATACGATATGGTCATAATAACCAACAGATACTCGTTGTCCTAACGGTTATATAGTACAGTGATGAAACACGCGAGAAAATTAAATTTTCCAGCTCTTCCGCCCGTGTGACTGTCGCCTTTCTCGTAGGGGGAGAATTTCACGCGCGCGCGCTTGGGTAATTCGCTTACTGTGGTATCTCTGAAGAAATCAAGATGGTAATTGTACGTACCAGCAACTGCTCTTTTGGAAAAACCAAGTAAAGAATATCTATAATCGTCACTTAATATGGGACACCTGCTATTAGTTTAAAGGAGCTCTGTCACGAAAATTATCAAAATTCAAACAGTTCCATGACTCCCGTATTCTCTGTTTCCCGCGCGGATAAGTACCATCTGGAGGCTATGCCTAGCTTAAAAACGCTCATACCTAGAAATACAAGTATTGCAGAACCACGAGAAGCTAAGACAGTATTAGGAATAAAAGGAAAAGATTCCAAGAGAGGAAAATCGAGGAAAAAAGGTAAAGACTAAAAGAAAAAAAAGAAGAAAGAAAAAGAGACAACAAACGAAAAAAAAAAAAGGTTATTAATTGCCGGGTTCGAACCCTAACCTAAAAAAGTCGATATGTGTTTCATCGTTATGAATTATCAGTCTGTAATGTATAAAAATATATCTAAAATATCACTGGGTGAGTTCTTTCCTGTTGTCAACGCGTTTGGACTAGTGGATAAAGTTCCCCCCTGTCAAATACGTCCATTTTCTTTCCTGTCTTCACCTCCGAAAAAACTCTTGACATCACTCTAATTTTGCAGGTTTTTTAAAGGAAAGCCGACCTTGAGCTGAAATCATACCT